ATGTACAAACTATGGCATAAGGGGACGACGAGCGGATAAGAGGCAATCCGTATTTTGGACATTAATGAGCGAGCTAGGACAGACGTAGTCAATATAACTATTTGTTCAGCACTTTTGAAATGTACAGCGACAGAATTCAGAACATGGGCCATTCTTACAGTGTTCTCCCTGTACACCAAGTCAGAACTGTAGGATAAATAAAGGGGGCATATAAGCAGACAATGAAAGCTCTTACAATATTCGATGATTACATTTCTCTATAACAGGCTATAGGCTACATGTGCACCACCAACAGCTAACAGCTTACTACACAACATACACTTAGTATTACTTTCTTAGCTACAGTATACATACAGTTCTATGAAAAAGTATTTGCCCCCTTTCTAATTTTCTCTAGTTTTGCATATTTGTGATACTGAATGTTATCAGATCTTCAACCCAAACCTAATATTAGATAAAGGGAACATAAGTGAACAAATAACACAACAATTACATATTTATTACATAAACAAAGTTATGCAACACCCAATTCCCCTGTGTGAAAAAGTAATGCCCCCTTACACTCAATAACTGGTTGTGCCACCTTTTGCTGCAATGACTCCAACCAAAAGCTTTCTGTAGTTGTTGATCAGTCTCTCACGTCGCTGTGGAGAAATTTTGGCCCACTCTTCCATGCAGAACTGCTTTAACTCAGTGACGTGTGGGTTTTCAAGCATGAACTGCTCGTTTCAAGTCCTGCCACAACATCTCAATTGGGATTAGGTCTGGACTTTGACTAGGCCATTCCAAAACATCCAATTTGTTGCTTTTTAGCAATTTTCATGTAGACTTGATTGTGTGTTTTGGATCATTGTCTTGCTGCATGACCCAGCTGCGTTTCAGCTTCAGCTCACAGACGGATGGTCTGACATTCTCCTGTAGAATTCTCTGATACAGAGCAGAATTCATGGATCCTTCTATTAAGGCAAGTCATCCAGGTCCTGAGGCAGCAAAGCATCCCCAAACCATCACACCACCACCACCATGCTTGACCTTTGGTATGATGTTATTACTGTGGAATGCAGAGTTTGGTTTTCGCCAGGCATTACTGGAACCATGTAATCCAAAAAGTTATACTTTTGAATCATCTGTCCATAGAACGTTCTTCCAAGAGTCTTGATGATCATCCAGGTGCTTTTTGGCAAACTTGAGTCAACTTTTTGGACGAGATAGGTCCCATTATGCCTGGTGAAAACCAAACACTGCATTCCACAGTAAGAACATCATACCAAAGGTCAAGCATGATGGTGGTGGTGTTTATGCAGCAGCATACAATACATTTTTGGACTCGCCTTGTTGTGCTGTGCTCACTTGAACTGGAAGGTGGCGCGGCGGTCCTTCGTGGGCAAATTTTGTCATCAAAGTCTGGCATTCTCTGGATTTATGGTGCTGAGTTCCCAGTTGTCTTGAATGCACTGTAGTCAGATTTCCCAGTTCCAGGTTTCCAGTTGTTTTGAGCGTGGCAGAAGTAATGCTGGACAGCATGGCCAATGTTGAATGCTTATCCCTTTAAGCTTGGAAAAGAGACCCTTAAACCCAGACTTGGGACCACACACCCACTCCACTGAATAGCAGGCTAGTGATTGCTTTGCAATGCTTGCAGTTAGCCACTGTTTCGTTCCAAGCCACTCATTGTTGAATTTGCGATTTCCAAGTTGTTGTGTAATGTTTATGTCCAATGGCCGATGGCCGATGAGCACCGATATGTTTTATATATAATTTATCTTCATTGTTTCTCTTCATATGACAAGGATTGAAAAGGATTTGCCAGTAGATTGTTGATTTGATTCATGATGATAACTGCTAGCTTGCTAGCTAAGATTTTGAAAGTATGATGTTGACATGATCAGTCCAATCAAAGCTACTGTAGATATAACGTGATTTGATGTCATTTTATCTGTGGCCAATGACCTTGAGCCTTCTTGGATGGGCACTTATATTGTAACCCTATGGCAGCACTCAAGGGGTTTGAATTTTCGAGCTCTACCCTTAGATTTTGCAGTGACGTAGTGTCCCTATGAGTGACAGAACACTGAGCCAATCACGGCGCAACTAGAGAACATTACCAACCTCTACGCTCCATATTTTTCCGCTGGCTACCCCACCACCACAGAAAGCCCTGAGCTAGGCTGAAACAGCTGCATTTTGGAGCTGCCTTACTCAAGAAAGCAAAAAAGAGACCAAGTTTGTATGCGGCTTTATTAACTCAATGATGATTATTATAACTTTTTTGACATTGTTTGCAAACTGATATGTCACACGTATTAATACCATTTTTTATTTTTATTTTGTTATTAATATGTGTCACACATCAATTTGCAAACAATGTAAAAAATATATATATTTTTTACTAAACAGGCCAGGCTCAAAACAGGTGGGGCTTTGGCACCTGCCCTGAATGACGGGTCGCCACTGTCCACAATACTAACCTAATTTACAGAGTGAAAAGAAGGAAGCCTGTACAGAATACAAATATTCTAAAATATTCATCCCGTTTACAACAAAGCACTAAAGTAGTACTGAAAAGAATGTGTCAAATTAATTAACTTTTTGTCCAAAATACAAATTGTTATATTTAATCCAATACAACCCATTATTGAGTACCTCTCTCCATATTTTCAAGCAAAGTGTTGGCTGCATCATGTTATGGGTATGTTGTAATCATTAAGGACTGCAGAGTTTTTCAGGATAAAAAATTAATGGAATGGAGCTAAGCACAGGCAAAATCCTAAAGGAAAACCTGGTTCAGTCTGCTTTCCACCAGGATTAATTCACCTTTCAGCAGGACAATAACCTAAAACACAAGGCCACATCTACACTGGAGTTGCTTACCAAGAAGACGGTAAATGTTCCTGAGTGGCTGAGTTACATTTTTGACTAAAATCGACTTGAAAATCTATGGCAAGACTGAAAATGGTTGTCTAGCAATGATCAACAACCAATTTGACAGAGCTTGAAGACTTTTGAAAAGAATAATGGGAAAATGTTTCACAATCGAGATGCGGAAAGCTCTTTGAGACTTACCCAGTAAAACTCACAGCTGTAATTCCTGCCAAAGGTGTTTCTACAAAGTATTTCCTCAGGGGTGTGAATACTTATGTAAATGAGATATTTCTGTATTTCATTTAAATACATTTGAAAACATTTCTAAAAACATGTTTTCACTCTGTCATATGGGGTATTGTGTGTAGATGGGTGAGAAAAAAATATAAATGTAATCAATTTTGAATTCAGGCTGTAACACAACAAAATGTGGAATAAATCAAGGTGTATGAATACTTTGTGAAGGCACTGTATCAGCCTGAAAGTCATAAGACTTGATGTACACTATACATGTTGGAGGTTTCTTGAGCAACCTGGTCTCAGAGCAAAACATATGATATTTTCCTAAAATCTGTGCCACTCCATTTAGTATGATATGTCACTTTACGTTAGGTTACATTACATTGGCCTACAACTGTAATAGAGGTTGTACAATAAAATACAAATTGTAGGACGTATAGTATCCTACATATTGATCGCTCGACTGCTTTAGTATGATATTCTACGTTCGACTGCTTTAGTATGATATACTACTTTAAGTTAGGGCAGCGTTTCCCAAACTCGGTTCTCGGGACCCCAAGGGGTGCACATGTCGTTTTTTTGCCCTAACACCTTACAGCTGTTTAAAATTATCAAAGCTTGATGATTAGTTGATTTTTTTGAATCAGCTGTGTAGTTCTAGGGCAAAAAACAAAATGTGCACCCCTTGGGGTCCCGAGGACCGAGTTTGGGAAACCCTGGGTTAGGGTTTAGGGTTAAGAGTTAAGGTTAAGGTTAAGGTTAAGGTTAGGGGAAGGGTTAGCTAGCATGCTAAGTAGTTGCAAAGTAGCTAAAAAGTGCTAAGTAGTTGTAAAGTTACAAATTAGCTAGAATGCTTAAATTGTCAGTGATAAGATTCAAACACGCAACCTTTCGTTGCTAGATGACTTAAGCAGCCTACTGTCCATACCAAATGTAACATATCATACTAATTTGAGTGTGCCAGATTTACATTTACTAGGTTACATCAATCACATTTATTTATAAAGCCCTTTTTACATCAGCAGATAGTCTAAAACCCCAAACAGCAAGCAATGCAGATGTAAAAGCACGATGGCTAGGAAAAACTCCCTAGAAAGGCAGGAACCTAGGAAGAAACCTAGAGAGGAACCAGGCTCTAAGGGGTGGCCAGTCCACTAGTCAATGTAATGCATCCTAACGTAAAGTAACATATCATACTAAATGGAGTGGTAGAGATTTTAGTAAAATACAGGCTGCTGGGATAATCTGGAGACTCTAGACTGACCCTTGCTTTGAGATGGGTGCCTAAATTGGAATCTGTTTATTTGATTTGACCTGCACTTTTTCGCACTTCACGTGCGGATCTCAAATTATATGATTTGGGCCATATAATGCGCGGCCTGCTCAAATCAAGGCAAGCTCTTCAAAAGTAGTTGGGACTGTAGTTGGAATAACCTATCTTTGTCTGCTGATTGACACATCTTTATATAATATAATGTTCAGACAGGACAATTGGGAGAGAGTGAGTTTGTGAAACAATGTGCCATTGTTGCTGGGCATAAATCATTCTAACTGTCTCGAATGCCATGGTGACCATTGGGGACTAACATATTTGGCAAGATTTCTCTTATAACTGACACAGTTACTGGGGCTGAAAACAACATTGTTTACATCGATAGTGTGTTTTTAAATTCACGTTCTTATCACATTTAATTCCTCTTTTCCCTTTTCTTTCATTCTTCAGTCTATTTGCCAAAACAAGCAGCCTATATCAAGAAAGTCATTTCATTTCAATTCAGCTGAAAACGAATGAGAGGGGAAAGCAGAATAAACAGCCTGCCATACTGTTTTGATTAGTGTTGACACTGACTCAAACAGCAGTAGTAGCAGCCATTTCCTGTGTCTAATCCCTCCTGTCTCCTCATCTCTCTAGGAGGAAGCTCGTTATGGCTCCAATCCTCTTGCCATGCTATCTGCTACCTGCAACAAGTTTGGAAGCACCAGCCCCATGAGGGACTCGGCCACACTCGGAAAGGCAGGCCCCGGCAGCACCGCTCCAGGCAAGAAGCAGTACGGCACGACCTCAGAGCTCCAGAAGAACAGCAGAGAAGGAGGGGAGAGCATTGAGAACTCCTACACTGGGTCGTTCAGCTCCGGAGGGGGGCTACTCACGCCCATTGAGAGTCCACCACCGTCTTCTGGGGGGTACACGTCTGAGTACAACGCCTTCTCCCACTCCTTCCAGACTTCCATGTCCCAGGACCAGTCCTTGCTGGTGTCCAAGGCCCACACCACGGCCGACTGTCTGGCCAGCGTCTACACCTCCCTGGACATGACCCACCCCTACTGCTCCTGGTACAAAGCTGGCATCCACCCCGGCATCACCGCTGCCCCCTCCAACGCCACATCCTCCTGGTGGGACGTCCACACCAACACCAACTGGTTGAGTGCTGCCCAGCCCCAGACCGACGGCCTCCAAGGCTCCCTCCAGACCGTCCCTCCCCAAGCCTCCCTCAGCCCCCAGCTGCCCAGCTACGCCTCAGAATTCACCTCCCTCAACCCAGCTCAGTACCCCTCTGTGGGCCTGGGCTCCTCATCACACCTCCTCCAGTCCTCCCAGCACATGCTGCCTCAGGACATGTACAAGCCCAAGCAGGTGTCCGGCGGGGGGCTGATAGAGAGTCAGATGGGCCTGAAGCCTGCGGCTGGATCACGAGGGTATGGAGGAACCACCACTGGCAGGTCCTCCTGTGACTGTCCCAACTGCCAGGAGTTGGAGCGGCTGGGGGCCTCGGCTGCATCCCTGAGGAAGAAGCCTGTCCATAGCTGCCACATCCCAGGGTGTGGGAAAGTCTATGGAAAGGCCTCGCATCTCAAGGCCCACCTCCGCTGGCACACTGGGGAGAGACCCTTCGTCTGCAACTGGCTGTTCTGTGGGAAACGCTTCACACGCTCCGACGAACTGGAGAGGCATGTCCGCACGCACACCCGGGAGAAGAAGTTCACCTGCCTGCTGTGTAACAAGAAATTCACCCGCAGTGACCACCTCAGCAAGCACCAGAAGACGCACACAGAGTCTGCCCTGCAGCAGGGAAAGACCGGGGAGGGAGAGGCCCAGGACCCCAGGAACGAGGAGACGGCAGACCCCAATAAGCCCAACATGGCCGTGCAGAATAATGGAGGAGTCCCTGGTGACCCTACTAACAAAGGAGAGAAGAAGAACACTGGTTCAGGCAATGGGGTGGAAACAATCAGTGGACTGCTGGAGATCTAACTTAATCGTATGTGTTGTCTAATAGGGGTAGTTGTGGCAGCGTTGTTGTGCTGCAAAGTTTACTATGTATCATTATTTTGTATTAGTACATACTGCCCACACTCTGACATTGTTTGCCAAAGAATGCATTTGACATAGTTCAAGATAACCGGGCAGGCAGGTTGGAAATACACATTCTGTGGACCACAGACACACACGTACACATGTATACACAGACACCACACAAAACATTTCTTCATTTTCAGTAAAACAACCACTGGTGAAATTCAATCTGCAAGAGCAGTGGTACAATGACTTGGAAGCAAAGAAGAAAATGAGTGTAGCGAGTATGAGGGAGTTTATGGGGTATTGCTTCCTCCATAAGTTTCATTTTGTACTTTATTACTTCAGTAAGAAACAGATAAATAGTGGTTTAATCTGATACTGCATACGTTTTGTTTTTGGGTTTCCAAATGTGTGTATGTATGCTTCCTCTGACGTCTTATTGAATTTTAAGTCTTAAATTATAAGAATTAAAGAGGATCTTGCATTGTGCAGACAATGTATTATTGCCTAATAAATGGCAAGATAGTTAAAGCTGGCCATTGATGATAATTTAGTAAATTAAGATTTTTTTGTTTCTTTTATTTATTGATTATTACTAAGATGTTGTTGTTGGTACTATAGTGTTTGAAGATTTATTTATAGATCTTGAAGTTAGTTGTTTCTGAAAACTACTATTTCTACATAACCTTTCTATTGTGAAGTCTGCATACCTGCCACGTTGATAGTTGATGAAAGCCTTGAGTGTATTGTATATTGAGTGTATTGTGCTTGGCTGATTCTAGAGCTGTGTTATTTTTCTACCTTTTTCTGTTTTGTTGATAAACCTCTTTACAACTAACTGTAATGAAAATGACACTTGCAACAATAATATTAAAACGCTTAAGTTAAAGTAAGACAGTGATCAGATCATATCCTACATTTATCACTAATGCATGATGGATATTTTGGATATTAAACTCTGGATATTTTGTGATTGAACATCTAGAAGACTTTTACAGTTTGAAAGTTTGCAGAATGTGAAATTAGCTAAATAATTAAATTATGTAAATAATAATTCAGCATGATCTTGGTAGAGGAGTATGAATGAGTGTCATGGTTTGGAAGTCATGACATGGAATGGTGCTTCAGTAAAAAACTATGCAATTTACTTTCATTGGTGTTATTTACATTTTTCCAGACCCCTAAGTCTCATCTCACCACTTAGTTCCATGAAGGTTTATATTGCAGAGGTAGCAAGTGTTACCAAAAGTCTTAAGGTAAAATGCTGCATAGAAATGACACGTTAAACTCATCTTTCCATCCCTCTCTCCTCTAAATCCCTCTTTCTAATGTCATAATCTTCCTGCATGTTTTCCCCTCCACCTTGATCTCCTTGCCTCCCCCTCTTAACCAAAATACCTTAATTATCTTCTTGCCGGCGCCACAAACAAAGCGGTCGACTGAGATTTACTCTCTGGTCGACACAATAACCCCTTTGACAGCGCCACTGTAGTTACACCACTGTAGTTACCCCGGAGACAATCAGGCCTCTCTCCAGCCTCACAGAGTTAATTAGACCTAGCAATGGTCCAGTTATGTGAGGGAAGGAGGGAATGGGAGGAAGGAGGGAAGTAATTGCATTGTTTATTGAGGGAGGTGCTCAAACAAAAGGCTAAAATTAAAGTTAGAGAGAGATAAAGGACGAAAAACATGAGGATGTGGACTGGAGGGAATAGGTTATGCATAGGAGAGGACCTGCCTGAAGGCATGGATTACTGAGGTTTAGTTAGAATTAAGTGATTGTCAAGAGAGGTTATGTCCAACAGGTGCTGAGGGAGAAGACTGAGGAACATGGACATTAGTGTTGTCAATAACAAGGTACTAAATACCTTTTCTTTAGAAAGGAAAGGAAGGGTAATATGGTTGGTAGATGGAAGGAAGCACAAAGCAGTTTATGGGATTACAAAAATTGCTTATTTGAGTCCAAACTATTTTTCTTATGATTTAGGATGATACATGTGAGACTCAATTCACATTTTATACCATGAGCGTAATGCCCAGATTAGTGAGAAAATATGTGTTTGCACAGTGTGTTATACAGTGAAACAATTTCAACGTTACATTACAGAACATGTCACATTAAAGGACAGCTTCACCCCCCCCCCCCCCCCCCCCCCCCCCACCAAACCCATACTGATTCCCCTGTCCTACTCTTCCCTTCCCATGCCTCAAGGTTCCAATTTAACTCTTCTAATGAGCTGTAGTTGAGGTCCATTTCTGTAAAACATCCCCAGGCCCAGTCTGTCATCAGGGAGTGACATGTTTATAGTGGTCTGAAGTGGGTGCTGTGCTCCCTCCGCACTGCTCTATGCGGTCCACAACATATAAAAGGCTGTGGGGGAATGGGTAGGGAGGGCGTGTCAGGAAACGCAGAGTTGGGACAGGGGGTAGTGGGGTAGAGGAGGGTCAATGGCTTTTAAGTAGTCTTGTGCAACTGGTATTTTGCTCCCTGTTTTATATAGCTACCCCAGCCGGTTAGCACAACAGTAGTGGTGGTAACTGGTAACCTTAACTTTATTTGTACTTTTCATATTTCAAAAGCTACGAAGCTTAAAATACGGTCATAAAAAGATAAATATATGTCAGGCAAAAAACGGAGAATCTGGTCAAACTGTACCATATTTCTCTCTCTCTCTCTCTCCTACTACCCCCTACCCCAGACTCACACCCGTATAACATGTATACCCTATTTCCTGATTCAACTAGGATACTGGGTGTCCAAAATATCCAAGGGATGCCTCACCAACCTGCTAAAAACACTGTCTATTCCCCCACCCAACTCATTACGAGGCCTCACTGCAAACATTCAATCAAACCATGTTTAGTTTAGGAGTTAAGAAGATAGAACATAGAAGAGTAACATGAACTGAGATACAGTTGAATAACCTCACAGAGCTTTATGATCCATCATTACCACTCAGATCACTCAGATTTGTCCCTGTAGATAATAGATTGTTATAATGTCTCAGCATATGTAAATGAGTCAGTCTTTCCTGCCTTTATCTTAGCATGGCTGAATAGCTGCTGAAACAATGGAGTTTACCGACAAAGCTGATGGGAACCTGTGGAGCAGAGCTTCCCCAAGCCTCCCCAGCCCCTGGGTGTAGGAGGGCCGGGGGTTTTAAACACAGGACAAAGGCACAGGTGTCTGCAGGTGTGACTAGGGTCTATCAACAGGGCTGGGGAGAGAGGGAGAAAGGGGGGGGGGAGAGGGAGGGAGCGATGGTTGGAAGGGGAGAGAGAGGGGGGAGAGACGAGGGGAGAATGTCGACAGTAGGCCCAGGGGCTCAGCAACCAGGCAATAGTTAAAAACAAGATAAGACCAGAGAGAGAGGGGAAGAGGGGAAGGGGGAACTGACCTCTCTAAACCACAACAAGACTGAGAGGTCAGTGAGGTCAGGAAGATAGAGAGAATAAAACAGAGAGAAAAGAGGAAAATAGAAAATAACATTTAGTTTGGAAGGAATAGACCCACTTCAGTTTTATTACCTTAAAAACACAATTGTTCTGCTCAAAATAAATTCCATACCAACACTCCAAACTCAATTATTCCCATAGAAACTCCCATGTTGCTCAAGAATACTTTATACATAACCTACTAGCCTAACCATTCATAGCCTAACCATTCATAGGAAACTGTCCTGAGAGCACTGTCCATAGGCTGAGTTATACTGGGCTGAACTAAAGAGATTCACCAAAGGCACCGTAAATGAGCCCGTTTTGTTTTTAGGAACTGTGGGCAGGTTGTGGGTGAATCCGTGCCCCTTTAAAAATATAATGCTTCCCTTTTAATGTCCTCTGGATGACAAAACGCTTCCAGGGGAAAAACTAAGTTAAGAAAATTACATGACACTTAAAAATACATACTCCCTCAACTTCATTATTTTTCTTTCAGAATTCAATTAGGTACTGAACTAATATAAGAACGGCCAAAACCTCTGAATATCCACTTCCTTCTTAAGTCATCATTTTAAAAGGCTGTCGCCAGTCAGCCATACGTTTAAAGATCTGCTGATGCACAGTGTGCTTCTTTACTCTGGTTTTATATACCGGTAGATGAGATGTATTATATTTTATTTAGTTTGATACAATTTGTTTCTTCATCTTTATTCAAAATGCATAGTAAAGCACATGCACATTCATCTCATTGGAAAGTACGGTTCATAGACAAGGATAAATACATTTACAGTACACAGACTAAATAGAGTCTGGACAAAACACTGAGATAATTGGGGCCCATTACAGCTCTAATAACCTTACAAAAGCTCAGTTTATACCTAGTTCCACATTCTGATTGTGCCCACATTTGTCGACAGTTGTAGACAATCAAAAGACGCATTGTGAACTGATTGTGGTTAGATCTTCCTGACCACCTCCTGAGGTAGTTGTAGACCACAGAGCTAGATAGAGGATTCTAGGGCCCAAAAGCCAGTTTTAGCATGGGCAGCGCCATTGAGGACTTTCACCACTTTAAGTAGTCAACTGGGTGGGATTCCTATGGGTTAAGGAAGGATCACATAATTCCATCCAGGTCATCAGGAGGGATCAGCCAATTAAGTGATAATCCTGAGAAGGCGGTTTTTGGAGGATATATTGGCACGATGAAGTCGAGGGCCGGCAAACCGTGCCAATACAGTACCTTGCAAAAGTATTCATCCCCCTTGGCGTTTTTCCTATTTTGTTGCATTACAACCTGTAATTTGAATTGATTTTTATTTGGATTTCATGTAATGGACATACACAAAATAATAAATAACGGAAAAGTGGTGTGTGCATAAGTATTCACCCCCTTTGCTATGAAGCCCCTAAATAAGATCTGGTGCAACCAATTACCTTCAGAAGTCACATAATTAGTTAAATAAAGTCCACCTGCGTGCAATCTAAGTGTCACATGATCTGTCACATGATTTCAGTAT